GCAGGCTACATGGCACTCTGACCACGGGCTGCATTCTTCCCAGCTCTCTGCAAATGCACCCCACTGCCAAGAGAAGGGATGGTTCCATTAAAGGCTGTCACCAGCATTGATGAAAGTTCTGAAAGCACAGAATTACAGCACCATCAACTTTCCTAGTCACAGGAACTCGTAGAGATCAACTGGTCCATGCTCGCCTCCACTTTTCATAAATCTGTCCTTTGTCTCCACCAATTTTCTCTCTGCCTTTATTCAGGCCCTCCTTACTCTCCTACCTGACTGCCATCACCTCCTAAGAAGTCAGCCTGCCTCCAATCATCCTCCACGCCAATCCTAAAATGAAAATCTGATCCCGCTTAAAATCTTTCAGTGCTTCCTCTCTGCCTGCAGAGCACCTTCCCACGCCCTCTCTGAGCCAGCTCTGCAGTCTCGCCTCCCGCCATTCCCCACCGCGCACTCCGGGCTCCAGCCCTGCTGAGCCTCGCGATGGCTGCCCTCTCCGCTCTGCCCTTGTTCATGTTTGTCGCCCACAGCTGAGAATGCTGTCCAGTCTCCTCCCCGCCTGCACACCACTTCTCTGACTATCTCATTCCAAGCCTTCAACTCTTAGAAAGGCTCCCCAGGACCCCGGGCTCTGAGAGGTGCTCCCACCGCGTGCACACAGCACCCTGGGCTGCATCCAAACACTCTTCCACTGCATCGTAATAATGCATTCACTTGTCTGCATGTTCCCTAGGGGGTGGAACTATGTCCTATTTCTCTTTCTCTCTGCAATGAGAGAAAATGAATGAAAGATCGGGCAACCTGCATTCAATAGATAATGAAACTGAGGCTAGAGTCTACGTAACTAATTGGCAGGAAAGCTGGGATTTGAACTCTGACCATATCCTATCAGAGAGGAAATTGGAAGGGCTACCTTTGTATTAAAAGAACAGAATATTATGTTTACAAGATGAGCAATATTTGTTAACAGCAGTAATAATCACACATTTCCCTACCTGAAAAGAGGCGAGGAGACATTATGCTATCAAGGTTGTAATTTATATGCAATAAGAACATGGAGGGCAGAATAATTAAACTGAAATTTTTCTTATTAGCTTTTTTAAAGAGTCTGTTTCTAGAAATGGATGCACGTACGCAATGCAAGATGAACACTGCCTAGGAGAGACTGAACTTCAACCCCAGCTGGTTTCTGGCAAATAAATGTTATATATAGTTGTGTGTGTATGTATATTCCTATATGTGTATAATACATATACAAACTACTTAAATATGTAACATACTTAAATATAAATAGGTGAATATAATATATATTTAAATAGCTTGTATATATATTATACATATATAGGAATACGGTAAGAGTCACTATAAACATGTGCAGGCAGGCCTCGGAGATACTGCGGGTTCTATTCCAGACTCCTCAATAAAGCGAGTACTGCAATAAAGTGAGTCATAATCTTTTTGCTGGTGGAGGGTCTTGCCTTCAATTTGTAAAAAGTTCAACATCTCTGAAAGTACAATCAAACAAGGTGTGCTGGAACAGCTGCATAAAGATGTTGAGACCCATCTCTGTTTTCAAGGTTTTAGAACACTTTTCCCAGTTTTAATTCATGATCTCGTTGCTCCAGAGTTGGCTCTAATCTGAGCTCATTTTACTCAGGGTCCTGAAGTTCAGCAACTATAAAGATCAGCCCTGGTGACAGGAACCCAGGTTAAAATGCCACCTTCATAACAGCCGCTAGTGCTGCTTCTCTTAACTAATTCCCTGTTAAAATAGCAAAGACCCAGAATCGGATGGAAAGTCACCACAAGGTGAGCAGCCAAGACTGACAGACAGACCTGTCACGCCAGAATCCCGCAGAAATCCCCCAGAGCCGCCAGGCTGACGAGGCTGGGCTGAAGGCCTCCCTGGTAGCGCAGGGGAGCTGGATGCAGAAGGCTGAGCGAAGGGACAGAACACTGAGAAACGCTGAGAGAAACGCCAAGTCAGCGATTCAGCCCACTAATTAAAGATATTTTTGAGAAATAAATCAAGCAGAACAAAAGCAATAAGCTAAAATATGAACAAGGCAAACTTCCTGGAGTGGAAAATAATCTCAGCGTGCAGATCAAAGGGCTCACTACATTTCAGGCAAAGTTAATTTTAAAATATTTTAAAGACCCACAGCTAGATATAATTCAGCAAAAAATCTGAACTATGGAGATAATTAAAAGAAAAAAAGCCTCCAAAAAAGGTTTCAGGGCCCAGCTTAATTTAACCAGAGAGATCTTTCAAACAATCCGTAAACTGTTCCAGAGCAGAGAAAAAAATGGAAACACCATCCAAACGATTTTGTTAAGTGAGCATAACCAAGACGACAAAACCTGACGCAGAGAAAATGCCACCAGCCCCACTTCTCACTTCTGAACTGATACAAAAATCCTAAATAAATCTCTTGCAAACTGAATTCAGCAGAATAATAAAAAATGCCTATACACGATCAAGTTGGACTTAGCCCAACAAAGCAAACATGGTCCAAGACTAATATATCTACTAATATATCACATTGTCAAAATATGAGAAAAACTTATTATAAGGTAATCCCCATGTCCTTAGGGAAAAGCTCCAAAACTAATTTTTGCTGAATTAAATAAATATAATATAGATGTTTATGACATAGTCGACTGTCTATTTAAAATAGTTATGTATACCCATTTGAAATCATATAATAAAAGATCTTAAATTTTATTCCACATCTTTCCATGCCTATTTGATATCAATATTTGTTTTCACAGGAGCCACTTTGAGATACTTGATAGAGCTACCATCTTCTCTTCTGTCTGAGCACCACTCAGTATGTATGTGATACATTAATACAGATATACTTTTGTTTCAGGAAATCATTTATCTTTAAACTGTATCATTGTGATCTCTACACCAAAGATTGTTTTATAAACTTATCACTTCCAGTTCTCATAATCTCAAGATTATCTCCCAGGAATAATTACTAAATCAGTATAAATCTCTTGGCCTCTTTTGTTATTGATTCTTTTAGTGAGTGACCTCTATCAGCATTAATACCAACATGGATCAAAGTGCTTTACCAGGCTGTTCAACATAAAGCCAACTGAGGAAGACTCACAATGAGAGAGATCTTGCAAGGACTTGTGTATGTCTCCCTCTTTTCTGAAGAGTAAGTTTTGGGGGAAAAACAAATGTAATAGCAACCCTTTCCCCAACAAGGCATACTTAGAAAATTATAGTACATGTATAGCATTTAAAGCAGCTGAACAAGGCTGCTCAGGGCAGCCCCTATCCCTGGCCCTGCCCAGGCTCCTCAATAGATCTGTATATGGCAGCACACCATGTGGAAAGCTCTGCTATATCATGAGGTCCAACAAGAACCTCCAGACCATCGTCTGCATCACCTCAGAGGCAGGAGATGCACTGGAGCCAGAAAGGCTGATGCTTGGCTCTGCCTGGCTCTGCGACCTTGGGCCTCTTTGTGCTTCGGTTTTCACATCCGCAAGAGAACTGTTGTGAGGATTAACTGGACTAATTCATGTAAAGCACTTAGAACTGTATCCTGCACATAGTAACCACACAATCAATGCTAGATTTAACAACCATGCCTGATTAAAGCAAAGCAAAACAAAACAAACCATGAGTACAATAGCCAGATTAATTCTTCAACATACCACTTCACACCCCTTACACAGTCACTTTAGAGTGAAATAAAACTCACCAGGTTCCAAACCCCAACCTCACCCTGGGAGTTGTCAAATTTTCAGGTCATAGCCAAGGAACACTAGGGATCTGAGAAAGCCTCCTTCATGGAAGGAAGACCAAAACAGACATAAGCAACCTTAGAAGGAAGACAGACAATGTTGGGTGTATAAGCAAACTTAAAAATATATGTATGTGTATATACACACACCTACATACACTCATATATATAAGTCATAGTTAAGAGCACAGGCTTTGGAGAAATAAATTATTAATTACATCCATAAAGTGAAAACAAAACTTCACAAAAAAAGAATGATCAGAAAACAAGAAAGAATTCTTGATAACTAAAAACTATGGTAGTTACAATGAATTCAATAGAATGGTTACAAAATAATGACACGAAAATTCCCCAAGTAGAAGAAAAAAAACAAAACAGGAGATTAAAAAAAGGGAGAGAGAAAATTAGAGGATTAATCCAATATTTAAATAACGGGAGTTTTGCGAAGGCAGACTAGGACAAAGGTGGGACGGAGGGCCAAACAATGTTAAAATCAGTAATACAAGAAAATTTCCCATAAAAGAGGATCTGTATTTTCAGATAGAAAGTAATCCCTAAGTACTCAGCATAACGAATAAATCAAGATCTATACCCAAAGTACATCCCTAGGGAAATTACAGAAAACTGTATCTAATGGGGCCGGGAATCACATTAGGACAGATTAGAAGTCAGAACATCACCATAATAAAAATGATTTTCAAAAAATTTCTTCTTCCTTCTTTTCTGCTTTTTTCCCCCTATAATCAACATGCAAAACTTTTGTCAGAAAACTTTAATGTAAAAAAATCTATACTTGGAGGCTCTAGCCTAGATTTAAACGGCTCCATTTCCCATCTGTCTTCATAATGTCACAGTGTGTCTCCCTGCACTGATACAGAGACCCCTGCAGTCAGCAGACTCCCAACAGAGCCTGGGCTGTAGAGGTTGCCGAGAACAAGCCAGTCCAAGGATTCAGGGCCCGGCTGCCCTGCAATGAGTGACGTCCACTCATACTGGCTCAGAAAGAGCTTGTTTTCAAGCACACTCCCAGAATATTCTGATATTTGAAGAAAGGTGGGGAAGCCCATAATTCTTTATCCTCAGACACATCTTTCTATCCATTATGATCACGCCTTCACTCTTGCAGTTAGCATTTATTTTAATAAGGAACTGCTAAATGCTCCAATCTGTCTTCCATTTATCGAACACCATGTCCTGAGCTTTGCCAGGGGACGATTTTCCTATCGACAGCCTTACCTGTGGAGAAGATGAACACTGTGTTGTTCCAGAGCCCATGGCTTTTTAAGGCTGCAGTGACATTTCCCACTGCTTCATCCATGAGGGACACCATCCCTGCATAGTGATGCCGGTTCTTATCTTGGATAAAGTCATACGGTTTCAGGTATTCCTCGGGGACCTGAAGGGGCTCGTGGACAGACTGGAGAGCGAGGTAGAGAAATAGAGGCTGGGGAGAGAGTTTGTGCAAATCAGTCAAGAGGGCATGAAAACATTAAATACAGAGAGGTCCAGACTTACCAGTTAATAAAAGTAATATGGAAACAACCCACAGAATGGCCTGAAAATATTTGCAAATCATATATGTATCTGATAAGGGACTCGTATTGAGAATATATAAAGAACTCTGACAACTCAATAATAAAAGACAATTACCCAATTACAAACTGGGCAAAGAATTTGAATAGACATTTCTCCAAAGAAGATACGCAATGCCGATAAACAAATGAAATGCTCAACATCATTAGTCATTAAGGAAATGCAAACTGAAACCACACTGAGGCACCACTTCACACCCACTAGGAGGTTATAATACAAAAACCAGAAAACAAGTGTGGGTGAGGGTGCAGAGAAATTAAAACACCTATTCATTGCTGGTGGGAATGTAAAACGGAGCAGCCCGTTTGGAAAACAATTTGGCAGTTCCTGAAATTGTTGGACACACAGTTATCATGTGGCCCAGCATTTCCATTCCTAGAAAATGAAAGCTACACAAAAACTTGTATATGCGTGTTCACAGGGGCATTATTCATTAGAGCCAAAGAGTGGAAACAACCCGTGTCCATCAGTTAATGAACAGGTAAACAAAAAGTGCTATGTTTTCAGCAATACACAGCCACAGAAGGAATATTATCAGCCATAAAAAGGAATGACATACTAACACATGCTACAACATAGATGAATCTTGAAAACCTCATGCTAAGTGAAAGAAGCCAGTCACAAAAGACCGCGTATCGTATGATTCCATTTATATGAAATGTCCAGAGAGGCAAATAAATCCATGGATACAGAAAGTAGATAAATGGTTGCCTGGAGCTGTAGGGAGCTGGGGAGAGGAATGGTGAATGACTGCTAACAGGCATAGTTTCTTTTTGTGGTGATGAGAATGTTTTAAGCTTAGATTGTGATTGTTGCATAACTCTGAATTTACTATTGAATCATATACTTTGAATAGCTGAATTTTATGGTTATGTGACTTATGTCTCAATAAAGATGTTAAAAATGCAACAAAAGAAACAAGATAAAAGATTAAAAATAAAAGCTTGAGTTCTAAAATGGCCTAGAAGGCTCTGATCCAAACAAATAATAATATCAATCATACAACTACATATCAAGTGTATTTATGCTAGATACTATAAAGATTTATATATTCCATCTCAATTAATACTCAAAACCACCCTATGTTACATTCATTTTACAGATAAGTTAACTGAGGCTTAGAAAAGTTACATGACTTGCCCGAATTCATATTAATTGTAGAGCAATTTCCTATTGGAAACCTGACTTTTATAGTGTGGATATGTACCAATAGATGCTTTAACTTTTTGCTTTAGCTGAAAAATAATTTCACACCTTTTAGGAGAGTGATGGGAATTTTTGATGTTTTTATGAGAAAACAAGTGAATACCATGCCTTGTTAGTCTTTCATCTAAAACCAAATATGAAGCCAATTTATTTCCTGGAAACTACCTACGGAATGTGGTACACTGATTCTATTTTACCTCTTACACCAATTTACAGCATTAACCTCAGTGGTAGTCCATGTCAGCCTCTCCTTTTTAATGAGCCTTTCTGAAGGCACCCTCTTCTTTGTGCTTCTACAGAATTCTTTGATGAGCTGAAAACCCTCAAAAAGACAACTAGTTGAACCCAAGAATAAATATATAATTCTATTCTAGTATTTGAGGCATTTAAATCTCATAAGTGAATATGGGAAAGTTAGAAAGCAGACTGGGGATAGGTGTCTCATATTTCATTCTTCATTGTTGATAAATTGTTTTAAGTGATCTATTCTGTATCCCTGTGATAGAGTAAGGAGTATACATGTATAGCGCTCAAAGAGACACCCAAAAGGATATCTGTAGTTCAGACCTTTGGCATTTTCCCCCAAAATCATGTTAAAAATAGCCGTTGAATATCAAAGTCATCACTTTAAAACCTATTTACTAAAGAAGTAGGTGGTGGAATGAAAACCACGATAATGAGGAACCTGTGCTCCATTTGTACATTATTTCCACAGGAAGGCATTCCAAATTGCAACTCCAAAGGTCCACATTAAAAGCTCCGACACTAAGTTAGCTCTGCTCAGCTCCCCCTCCACACACCCCTCCTCCTCCAGCCACACAAGTCCCAGTGAGCCCCCGCGCTCCTCCAGACCCTGGTGAAGGAGTCCCAGGGGAGGCCGTCCGGTGGTGAGGAAGGACCTGGCCTGAGATGTTTGAGGGGAAAGGATGTGAAGCGGCATCAGTGGCCAGACAGGCAGTGAGGGGCTGTGGTGGGAGCAGTGGTCTGGTCTTGATCCTTAGACTAAGTCAACCCTAGCCACCAGCCAAGGTCTAGATAGGAGTAAAGACTGCAGAGTTACAACAATTTGCAGCCTACGTGAAGTTTTAAAAACCAGAAAACATCACATAAAAATCTGTTGTTTTGTCTTGTTTTAATTTTCTTGAAAAATCAGAACTCTGACAACTCTACACTCACACTCCGTCTGGTAACAAGTAGTTGAGAGTGAGAAACAGAGACCCCACTCTCAGAAGCTCTCCATTTCTCTAGAGTCTCCCCACTGTTCCATCTGAGAGGCTTCACTTGCTTAGGTAGGCAGCCTGACCCTTGGAAACATGAGAGTTTGAGACTCTGGTCTGGATTTCCTACAGCGGGCAGGGCTGGAGGAATGAGAAAGGAACCTCACTGTTTAACAAGATTTGCAACATGGCAACTCATGTGGCTGGTGAAGGAGAGAGGGGCAGAGAGGGCAGGGTGGTCCCAGCCAGCAAGTGATTCCTAGAGGCGATGGCTGGGGGGTCGTGGGGGAGAGTTCTTACAACCATGCCAGGGATAGATAATAATTCTGGGACCATCACTAGAGGACCTTATACATATTCAGCATAGAAATTATTCTACTCATCAAATATGGCAAAAAATTACCCGAAAACCTTTCCAATAATTATCCCTTAGTGGCTAAGGGGACAACTGTCACTCTGAGGGGTTAAAATTAGAAAACTACAGCAATCCCCATTTTCCAGTGGTAAGGCTTCTGAGAAGGGGCATAACCAAGAAGAGGAAGTGAGAACCACCTCCAAGGAGGAGGCCAGACTGTCCTGTGACTGTCACAGGCCACAGAAAGGCCTCGCGCTACTTGCTGACCAGATCCTAATAACTCACTAGTATGGCTAACGGTATTCCTTGACCAAAACAAGTTCGCTCTCTCTTCATCAGCAGTAACCTACGGTCACTTGCTGTGTGGACAGACAGCCTCACACACATCAACATGGGTTTGGGTCACCAGGAGGAAGCAGAATGCTGTACAGTGCAGTGCATTTAATGAGGTGACGACCAACGAACACATTTTAGAGTATTTCCATCCAATATTGCAAAAATAAAGTTTCAGCATTCACGAGGTGAACTTTATTTGTGAAACAACTCATCCCCCACCAGGGCTGGATATGAGGCATTTCCATACTGTCTTTAAATTTTAAAAAATATATAGAGTACTGTTCTTAGTAATACATGGCGGCCCACTAGAAGGACAATTAACCAGGCCTCTAAGGTTCTCCAGCCACAGTCAGGACCCACCTACAGCCACTAGTGCTAAGGTCGTCCCAGTGAACAGTAGCTGGTCGCCCCTCACCTGCCAGCCAGGGCCTCTGCTGGCCTAAATCAAGCAGCTACCACCCTGGGGGTGAGCTTGTTATTCCTACACTACCTACTGACTTGAGTTCTACCCCAGTCATGCCTTGGCCTTTGGAGACCTGAGGGCACATTCTGATCGAAAACACTGCACCCAACCTGATCTTCACTGACCTCCGGGTTTATGCTGAACCCTGATCTCTCCCTGGCTCGCTCTTGGGTCCAGATCCCTGCTCTGACCAGCCCAGTTACAGCTGCCACCTTTACACCAACCTTAACTGTACCCTTTCAGGTTTCTTAGGACTAAGATGATAGTAGAATCCTGGATGTGAATCAGGACCAAGTGTTTTAAATATTACATAAAAGAATGACATTACTACTTTAAGTTATTAGCATATTAATAAGATGCTAGGGGTTCATTTCCTTTTCTTAGTATATCTATTATTATACTCTAAATATCCTCACCATGCTAAGAAATTAATTCCAGTAAGGAAGAAAGTCTTATTTCCATTTCTTTAGTATGTTTTCCTAATTTAAAGAATGAATTTAAAAAGCATATTATATGTTTTTAAATTGTTATTCTATATTTGACTTCCAAAATAAGACATTCCTTTCCAAACTGTGTAAAGTAAGGGTGTACCACAAGAAATCTGCATTTGCTTTAAGATGCTTTTAGTAGAATAGATGTGTGAGAAAACATTATTTTTATTCTGCAAAGTGTTGAGGGGCTAGTTTTAACCAAAAGATATTTTATGAATATGCTACTTTCACACTGTAGTGTTAGTACTAAGGGACTGATCCTGCACAAAAGGAGAAAGGCCACTGCCTCCCAGCACATGCGCGAGGCTATTAGCAGGGCCGCCCTGGCTCCAGCACCACGGCTTCTGCTACTAAACAGCTCCATATGCTTTTTCCCCTCAAGTGCTCTTTAAAACAGGGACACTTTTAGCTTGTAAATTTGTGTGAATTTCTTTAATGATGTCCATGCTAGACCAAGTCGCCTATGTTACAGTCTGTCTACGGCACAGAGTAAGATTCGGGGCGCGAGGGGGTAAAGAGGGAATGAAAGGCGATGGAAGGAGACTTGATGGGGGTGGTGAACACAAGACAACATACAGATGATGTATAGAGAACTGTCCGCCTGGAACCTGTATAATTTTATTAATCAATGTCACCCCAATAAATTCAATTAAAAAAAGACCAAAAAAAGAGATCAAGATTCAACATTGGGACAAAATGATAGCAGGCAGCTCTGGAACTGGGGTGACACATCATTTTACTGAGAACTGAAAATGTAAACATCTGCGCTGCTGATTTAAAGGAACTTGCTAGGTATTACTCAACTACTGATGATTTCATTCATTTATGCCTATGCTTGAAACTCTGCTTTGCGGATGCTGGGAATGCTGGGCACTGCTTCAGAATTCTTCAGACAAGGTAGGAAGGTGACCACCCTCTCCTCTGGCTCTGAGCAGCACCAAACCAAGAACACTAGTTGGATGGATCGTGAGCCCTGGGGCCTGCAGCTCCCCCCATTTCTGTGCCCCAGCACACTAGTGAAGGAGGCCCACCCACAGAGAACTATTTCACCCCAGCTGCTTCCTCTTACCCGCTTCACATTCCGGGCACTGTGAGAGAATATTCTATTGTTCCTTAAAGGGAACTAGTTTTTACTGTAGGCATACTATCGCTACACGATGTATTGCGAACCTGTAAAAGCAGCTGGCTTCTGCTTCCAATCTGTGCTTGAGGGGAGTCAATGGTGGCTGCACACAGGAATCACTGGCAGGAAGTGGGGCGGAGGGATAATTAAATGCCAATGACAGGGTCCTACCCAGGCCGATAAACCATGCAATTTGGAACTGGTAATTCTTACAAGCTTCCCAGATGATCCCAATATACGGTCAGGATGAGTCAAACACTGGGGCTCATGATCTCTGGTTGTGGATATTAACTGTGAATAGGGAGTGCATTGAGCTCTGGAGTCAAACAGCACGGCTTTAAAATCTGATTCTGACTCTCAATAGCTCTGTGACCTTGAACAGGTTAGTTAAGCTCACTAAGCCAGTTTGCTTATCTGTAAAATGGTATCTACCTCTAAGGACAGGACAAGGACCATAGTTCCATTACGACCTTATCTTGTTCTTTGGAGTTTTAGCTGTATCACAAAATGTCAAGCATACAGAAGAAAACTGAGAACTTAAGCCAATCACCTGGCAGTTATCTTTCCAATTGTCTGAATATTGGTGTGACTCTAGATTCAAAATCTGCGTATGTCTAAGCCTTGACCAGATAGCTCATTGGTTAAAGCATCATCCCAATACCACCAAGGTTCTGGGTTCAATCCCCAGTCTGGGCACATACAGGAAGCAACCAATGAATGCATAAATAAGGTGAACAAGAACCAAACTGATGTTTCTCTCTCTCTAAAAATTAATAACTTCAAAAAATAATAATAATAAAATAAAATCTGCCTATGTCTACATATTTGAATGTTCCAATTTCTTCCCTGTTCCACAGCAAGCATGGCTGAGCCAAGATGTCAGTATATAAGAGGGATAAAAAGCTAAAAGTTGGGCAAAGCTGAGGACAGATTCCAGGGAAGGCTCCCAGTACTAAGTCAGAGGCAGCAAAGACTGAACCACAAAGAAACGATGTCAAAAACAGAGTTAGCAGCCAGGTACCATGTCTAACAGGTACATAAACTGGGATCCAAATCGTGATCTGTGTTGAGGACCCTCAGTAATTGTTGAGGAGGCAAAGTGCAGGAAATAACGAACCAGACAACACTGCGCATTCTGTAATCTGCTCTGTGAGGTCCTATTGAAGGACTAATTTCATGGGCTTGCTAATGCAGTTCTTAAGGAAGCCGTATTTTGTGCCTGATATCTGACAAAACAAATATTTGATCCAATTTTAAATCCACAGAATTCAGCTTAAACTTTAGCTCATGAGTTTAACTCTAGGTTAGCAAAAAAAAAAATGTTTAAGGCTATTCAAACTCTTCTAGTTTTACCTATACATAAGTCAAGAGATTTCAGCATATGATATATACAATGGCTGCAGGGTGGTAAATGTGAAAAACAAGCTCATCAGTATGCCATGTTTATGGATTGGGAGGCTCAATATTCTTAAGGTCTATAGTCAATGAAATCTAAATCCAAGTACAGATTTATTTTATTTTATTTTTTAGAAATTAGATGAGCTGATTTTAAAATCAGGGGGTGTAAAGTATCTAGGGGATGCAAAATATCTGGAATAGCTAAAATGATCTTGGGTGTGGGGAGGAATACAAAGTTAGAGGACTTTCCCTAAACCTACAGTTTATTGATCTCTTAATACAAAATTTGCCATAATGAAACCTCACCTGTACATAAGCTTACCATTTTTAAAAAATGTTAATTTACTAATTACAGCACGTGCACATAATACACCAAATAATAAACTATATTTCTACTAAAACACTAAAGACAGTATTTCTCAAAGTGTAATCTAGGGACCACTTTAATCAGAATCCCCCTGAGGAGTTTCTTTAAAATGCTGGTGTATGGATTTCCTACAGACCTAAGAGATCAGACTCTTAGAGGTGGGCTCCTGGAATTTCTGTTTTTAACAAGCTTCCGAGGCTGATACTGGTGTACTCTAAAATTGGAAAACTGCCTGGTTTGGCGTAGCTTAGCAGTTGAGCGTCGACCTAGGATCCAGGAGATCGAGGTTCGATTCCCGGTCGGGGCACATGCCCAGGTTGTGGGCTCGCAGCCGATCAATGATGACTCTCTCATCATTGATGTTTCAACTCTCTCTCTCCCTCTCCCTTCCTCTCTCTGAAATCAATAAAGATATATTTTTAAAAATAAATAAAATAAAATTTGAAAACTATTCCCCTAGAATTTATGAGATTTCCTCCCCTAGATGACAGTGGCCTTTTCCCCCATTCACCTGAAGAGATGCTTTCTTAACACAATCTTGATATCAATAAGGAGCAAGACTTACCTTCTCTGGTGGGTGGTTAGTTATAAGAGCTATAGCCCTTTGGGTAAATATGTTTGTTGAGTACATATTTTCATATCCTGTTGCAACTTCCTCGCCATCTCGAAAATCAAGAGCACATCGTGTGACATTCAGAGCTTTGATAAACGCACAGCGCTCATGGGAATAGTAGTCTTCACTACCTAGGAGATATCCTACAACAAGAACAGGAGATGAAAGTGGTCAGCATGATAGAAAACTTGTTAAATAAACGAATGTTTCAGCATTTAACTGCCTAATGCAATTGATTACCCATGACAAGGCTAATCATATGACAAGGTTAATCAGAGCACCATTTCCTAACATCTCTATATTTGCTATCGGACAGCATTAAAGTGTTATTGTAAAAAAATTCAAATCCACTCCTCACTCAAGTCTTTAGCACACAAGCTCTAACTCTCAAAGTGGGTAATTCCAAGTAAATGCATTTTTTAAAATCAGGGCTCAAATTCAGTAAAGACAATAACATCTTAATCTTTTAAAGCTGTCTAATAGCTAAAATAGTATATAGTTAATGTGATTTGTTACAACTTTTTATTCTGAGGTGATCACATAGATGAATGCAGGAATCAAATAATGTTGCTATTGACCTTGGGAGCCTGGCTTGAAGGTTACTTATAGAAGTGGATCTAGGAGGAATCATCTTCAGTCAGATACTGACACCCGCTGGTGAAAGACACAAACCTTTCCCAGCAGAGGATTTCTAGGCAACAGGGCAAAACGCAAACTGACATGTGGTGCTAAGATTAGACTTTTCTACATATGATCTCAATTTCACCCCAAATTTAAATGGCATTAACTGCCTCTCCCACAATTTACACTTAACCATGGAAGGAAATGGGTTTTCTCAACAAATAGATGTTTCTGCAAATGTTCCATATTTTCCTAAAATGTTAAAAATAAGCTGTGCTGCATATTATATGATTGCACTTCCATGAAATGTGCATAACCAATGTCACCCCACTAAATAAAAAAATTTTTTTTGAATGTGCAGAATAGGCAAATCTACTAAAGACATTAAGTAGGTTAGTGGCTGCCTAGGGCCGGCGGGGTTGGGGAAAAGAGAGAGTGACGGCTAATGGGGATGGAGTTTCTTTTGGCGGGGTGGTGGAAATGCTCTACAATTGAATTGTGATGACAGTGGCACAACCCTGTGAATTTATTAAAATAACTGAATTATACACTTTAATTGGGTGAACTGTATGGTATGTGAATTACACCTCGATAAAGCTATTAAAAAGAAATAAGCTGTGCTGGACTCTGCACTATCTCCTGACAAATACAGCTTATTAACCTTAAAATGAGGAGGAAGAAATTGGCCTAGCCCTTTCCCCAGTCCTGAATGTTCCTATAATCACAATTAAAGCCTTACACAGCCTATACAACAAATTAATTAATTTTAATTAATTCCCCCCTTTGCCATGATTCACTAAATTCAAGGTCCTAAACACAATGAATACCTTGGTCTTAAGATGTTTTAAATGGTAATTTTTCTCCTATGTATATAACAGAAAGGGAAATCCAATGTGTTTGCTAATTCGTATGTAATAGAGAAGGAAGTGTACCCACTAAAACAGTTTCAGCCCTTATGTGGGTGCTTAGAGGGGCCATGGCGCAAGGGTTGTATCTGGGTTTTTAATAACTACTGGGTATTAGTCCTTGAGGAAATCACTGCAGGTCTGATATCTGTAAATGGAAACCTTTTATCATTTGGGAGAAAATATGCATAGGATACACTTGACTAAAAGAGGGCAAGCTACAAATATTAAAAAGATATTACAAATGGGAGGGTTCCAGAAATACAACTATTTATTCACATACTTGCCCACACTGACACCAAGCATCATGTGACAGTCACACAGAGCTTTTGTCCAAACAGTGATTCACAAATTTGAATTTACGTGCTGAGCCTAAAGACGATGGCAGCCTAGGCATTTTTTGGGAAACAGGAGAACATTCTTTTTGAGCAGCTAAATCTCCGACTTCCCTATTTAATAGCATTACTGAAATATAATTCACATACCATACAAGTCTCCCATCTGAAGTGTACAACTCAATGGTCTGTAGTGAATTCAGTGTTTTGCAACCAGCCCCACAATCGCCTGACTGCTTCCTGACAGACCGTCAGGGTCACAGCAGTGATGACTGCTGCAGGTCTCCACTGCAGAGGAACGCGAGGGATCTGCCTGCTCATCTAGGCCCGGGTTAGGCTTCTTAATGCTCACAAAAGGATATCATTTCTATTTTCTGTCCAACTGAATTCTTAAATATATAACTTGGTTTTTAACTTTAAAAAGTTTAAGTATCCATAGTTTTTCCTCTTGCCACAGTACAGGTACTGATCCATATTTTAGCAAACACCTGACTGAAATTTTTCAAAGGACATACAGGCTGTTTTTTTCTTTTAAAATCTGCAAAATGACAGAGGTCTTCCATCCAAATCTGATTTTTAACAGCTATTTGAGGATACTCAGGGTATATCCAGGCTCATGGAGAGAGAATGCCATGACTGATTAGGGATGTCAGCTGGAGAACCTGGCTGGGAGCAAGGCACACAAGGTCTCATGTCTGATGTCCTCGAAGCTCAACTTGAACCCTGATCCAACAAGCGCTACAGAGCTATGTGCTGTGGCTGCATTGTTGGGCCCCATGTAGGTGCTCTGACCCCAGCCTGAATAAGAGAAAAAGGCCCCAAGAAACATCTGTAAGAAAACCACCACTTTATTTCTAGAATGATGTCTTTGAGGACGCTCTACCTTACCTTCTCCCAAAGGAGCCATTTCTCTCAGGTCTAAGGGCCAGAAAATGCTTTACTCTTCCTGAACATCTGGTTTCCATTTATCTTATAAATAATGTGACTCTTATAGGCTTACCTTATTTTTCTTTTTGCTTTGGACATAAAAAATCTCAGATATCAGAGTTGAATGTGAAGCCCACCTACAGCCATGCAGTGATGTTTTTAACTTGGTGCCAAGCAACTATTCTATCTTTTTCTATTCACCCTAATTTTTTATTCTATTTATTTGTAAATGTTTTATGCTGAATATGTACTCCTTTTTGGATATGGCAAGTTGAAAATAAATGAAGATATAAAAAGGGAGATAGGTAGTGAAATAGCGAGACAAAAAGATAGGGTAACATGAAAAAGAACCTGACAAAAATATACAGCCACTGTCAAAATAAAAGGGTTGTTAATTTAGATGGCTCAGGACAGATTTAAAGAGGGCACGTTTTAAAGCAAACTTTAGGTTTCACATTGGTTTCTACGGGGCTCTCCATCCCATAAAATACTTATAATTTCTTAGTATCCTTCCTATTACCATCTGTACTTTCCCTCCCATTTTATTTTGTGATCTATCTTCCCCAATCTAGGGATTTCAAAAACAGATTTCCAAGAAAGGGAAAAGCAGTCCATGGAAAAGAGTCTTCTCCTTCTTTACAAAAAAACCAAACCAAACCTTTGAACACAGCTCACAGGGAGAAAAACACATCCAAACCTTTGTGAAGGAAAGAGTCCTGTATGGGGTTTTGCCAGGGATTGCTTAAAAACTCATTCTGTGACCCCTTTGGGTAATAAGGCTCTCTAAGAGTACAGTGGTCTGGGATGTGCAGGTAGCACGTTTTCCAAAGGCTCCAACGTGGCAGTCAGTGCCCTGGCAAAGGTAACTGCCTCCCTGTGGGGTCGTGCCCACCAGGAGCCGCGTTCACGGAGGTGGCACGAGACAGCGGCCCCACGGCGGTGCTGGCTGACTCACTGTGTTCAAGTTTCCAGTTACAGTATTTCATTTGATTGCACTTGGGTGTGTTTTATGAGAGGGCTGCAGTCAGGCCGAGCTGTTAAAGAAACATGTGCATTTCCATTACCAAAGTAGGTATCAAATCCTCGGCGGGTTGGAAGGCATTCTTTCCGGTACATTCCCAGGTGCCATTTCCCGACCATGTGCGTAGCGTAGCCCGCTTCTTTCAGGAGCTGGGGCAGGAGTTTTTCATCCAGAGGAACGCAGCTGGGCTGACAGGCCCAGATTATTTGGTGCTGTAAACCTGTGCGGATCTTAAAGAGATAAACATAAAATTATGAATTAACGGTGTTGAAATATTCTGAACAAGTAGACAAAGTGGCTGCCTAATTTATTGGACAGGAATGTTTAACTCTATTCCTGTACTTGCTTAAGGCTATTTATTGTTTTAATCCTAACTTAAGGACATGCTTTTTTAAAAATTGATTTGAGAGAGAGAGGAAGAGGGGTGGTAAAGATTGACTTAAGAGAGAAACGTCCTCCCATACTCCCTTGCCTGGGGATCAAACCCTCAACCTGGGTATGTGCCCTGATCGGGAATCAAACCCACCACTTTTTGGTTTATAGAACTACACTCAAACCAACTGAGCCACACCAGCCAGGGCTGGCTTAAGGCTATTTTTGAAAGGTACTTTACTCACTTATTCCAGTATGTTAATGGACATAAACAGGATTTGAAAAAAAAAAAAAAAGAGTAAAAGCACTCTAACAAACAAGATATTGTCAATAAATATTTATCAAGACACTACGTTAGAAACAATTAGCTTAACTTTGTACTTACTACCTCAAAAAAATAGCCAAAATAAGAGATGTGGATCTATCAAGAAAAAAGTGTTCCCATTTCTGTACACATGAGAAGTTAGTGTTTAATGATAAGGAGCTTCTATCTATAGAAACATTATCTTCCAAAGCTGAATAAAAAAGAAACAGAAAATCTGAACAGACTGAAATCAAAGCAGTAATAAAAAAAAAACTCTCAACAAACAAAAGTTCTGGACCAGGTAGCTTCATAGGTGAATGTTACCAAACATTCAAAGAAGAACTAACACGTATTCCAACTATTCCAAAAAACTATTCCAAAAAAACTCAAGAGGAAAGAAGACTCCCAAGCTCATTCTATGAGGCCAGCATTATCCTAATTCCGAAACCAGATAAAGACACTACAAAGAAAGAAAATTATAGGGTCAATATCCCTGATGAACATAGATGCTAATATCCTCATCAAAATATTAGCAAACTGAATTCAACAATACATTAAAAAGGTCATATACCATGATCAAGTGGTATTTATTCCTGGGATGCAAGATTGGTACAATATCCACAAATCAATTAATGTGATACACCACATAAGCAAAATGAAGAATAAAAATCATATGATTATATCAACAGATACAGAAAAAGCATTTAATAAAATCCAGTATGCATTTATGATAAAAACTCTCAGCAAAGTGGGAACAAAGGTAACATACCTCAACATAATAAAGACAATATATGACAAACCCACAGCTAACATCATACTCAACAGGGAAAAATTAAAAGTCCATTAAAATCAGGACCCATGGACACAGACAATAGCGTGGTGAAGGCCTGGGGTGGGGGTGGATATGGGGTTGAAGGAGTCAATGGGAGAAAAAAGGGGATATCTGTAATACTTTAAATAAAAATAAATTTAAAAAAATTAAGAACAAGACAGAATGTCCACTTTTACCACTTTTATTCAACATAGTACTGGAAGTCCTAGCCACAGTAATCAGACAAGAAGAATTAATAAAAGGCATCCAAATTGGAAAGGAGGAAGTAAAACTGTCATCATTATTTGCAGATGACATGATATGGTATATAGAGAACCCTAAAGATTCTACCAAAAACTACTAGAACTGATAATGAATTTAGTAAATTAGGAGGATACAAAATAAATATTCAGAAATCAGTTGCACTTTTATACACCAATAATGAACTATCAGAGTGGGAGACTAAGAAAACAATCCCACTTACAATTCCATAAAACAAATAAAATACCTTGGCATAAATTTAACCAAGGAGATAAAAAATCTGTACAGTACTTGGAAAATTATAAGACACTGAAGAAAAAAACTGAAGGTAAAAATAAATCAAAGCATATACCATGTTCAGGGATAGGAAGAAGTAACGTCATTAAAATGCCCATACTACCCTAAGCAATCTATGGATTCAACTCAATTCCTACCAAAACACCAATGGTATATTTCATAGAACTAGAACAAATAATCCAAAAATTTAGTATAGGAAACCATAAAATAGTCCGAATAGCCACAGCAATCTTAAGAAAGAGGAACAAAATTGGAGGCATCACACTACCTGATTTCAAACTATATACTACAAGGCCATAGTCATCAAACCAGCATGGTACTGGCATAAAAACAGACATATAGGTCAATGGAACAGAATAAAGAGCTAAGAAATAAACCCACACCTATATGGTCAATTAATATATGAAAAAGGAGGCAAGAACATACAATGGTGTAAAGACAATCTAGTCAATAAACGGTGTTGGGAAAATTGGACAGATACATGCAAAAAAATGAAACTAGACCACTTCTTACACCATACACAAGAACAAACTCAAAGTGGATTAAAGACTTGACTCAAAACCATAAAATCCTACAAAAAAAACAGGCAGTAAAATTTCTGACATTTCTTAGCAATATTTTTTTTTCTAATATATCTCCTTGAGCAAAGGAACCAAAAGAAAAAATAAACAAATGGGATTACATCACACTAAAAAGTTTTTGCATAGCAAAGGAAACCATCAACAAAATGAAAAGACAATCTACTGAATGGAAGAATATTTGCCAATGATACATCTGATAAGAGGTTAATATCCAAAATTTATAAAGAAATCATACAACTCAACACCAAAAAAAAATCCAATTAAAAAACGAGCAGAGGACCTGAATAGACACTTCTCCGCAGAGGACATACAGATGGCCAATAGACATGTGAAAAGATGCTCAAGTTCACTGATTATTAGAGAGATGCAAATTAAAACCTCAATTAGATATCATCTTACACCTGTCAGAATGGCTATCATCAATAAATCAACAAACAACATGTGTTGGCGAGGTTGTGGGGGGAAAGGGAACCCTCATGCACTGTTGGTGGGAATGCAGACTGGTGCAGCCACTGAGGAAAGCAGTGTGGAGTTTCCACTTTTGAGCATATACCTGAAGAAACCCAAAACACTAATTCAAAAGAAGATATGCACTCCTATGTTCACTGCAGTGTTATTTACAAGATACAAGATCTGGCCCGGCCGGACGTGGCTCAGCAGTTGAGCATCGACCTAGGATCCAGGCGATCAGGGTTCGATTCCCGGTCAGGGCACATGCCCGGGTTGCGGGCTGCAGCCAATCAATGACTCTCATCATTGATGTTTCTATCTCTCTCTCTCCCTCTCCTCTCTCTGAAATCAATAAAGATATTTTAAAAANTTTCTATCTCTCTCTCTCCCTCTCATTTCCTCTCTCTGAAATCAATAAAGATATGTTTAAAAACAACAACAACAAGAGCCAAGATCTGGAAGCAGCCCAAGTGCCCATCAATAGACTAATGGATAAGAGAACGGTGGCTGCCAGGCTGTCTCTACTGCAGGCCCTTCTGAAGGGAGCCTGCTCTACATGACACTCTCCGTCTAGTTTCTGGAAGCTCCCTTTCCTTTCCTTCTTTCTGGCCCAGGGGGAGTAATAGCTCCACTGGGTTATACACTATCCTTTGAGTTCCCTCACATATCCACACCTTTTAAATAGCCCCTTTGTAAATAAAACCTCCCTAAATTACTTTCATTTGAATGTGCCATCTCTCCCAGCTGGGATTATGAATGATTTGGATGTTACCATATCCACGCTAGGAAACAGAAGCATCTCTCAAAACACACACACACACCCCAAATCACTATGGTTAACACTAGAAGTTTATCAATAGAAAATCCTGGGTTTAAAAACCTCATAATATATACCAATTGGCAACAGAGCAGGATAAGGAAAGATAATATTTTATGGATTCAAAAGGCCCAGTGGAGATTAATGCCGTATGCAAGTTTTTCAAATGGAAAGCTCATCCATCACACACAGAGAATGAATTCTGACGGCTCTATAGCAAACCAAGGGAGACTGTGCGATTCAGCGTCCTGGGCATGGGCAGAGGGCCAGGCGGTCAGCTGAAGCCTGCTTCTATTATCTACCATCATATGGAGCAGGGAATTTGTTCTTTTCAGTCCCTGAGAATTTATTTGACAGAGCATTTTTATGGCATTACTGGGGAGTGGAAGCCAAACTCTGGATGACAGCCAAAAAACATGTTTTTGGTCTGTTCGAACATTATTTGAAGTTAGGAAGCTGTAATGTGTAGCGAGGCCGTAAACAGGCAAATGCTGAGCTGCTTCCAACCCAGCACTTCAGTGTAGCATGAGTTATAGAGCCGCACCATGCTTCACGGGGCAGGATAACCGCACCAAGAGGAATCAAAAGGAAAAACAAACATCCCCGTCTAAATGCAACAGCATCTAAAACATTCCACTCTAACGCCCGTCTTCTATGAGAGGGTGTGTAAACGGAGAGGGTCCGACAGATAAAACATGAAAGTCCAGAGCGGTTTAGTCTCTCTCTACCCCGGGTAGGGTAGCTGTCTCTTCTTCATTAACCCCAATCCTCCCTCAAAAAACAGCTTCTCCTAAAATATTACTTGACCACCAAGAATTCCCTCTGCAAAGGCAGAGTTTGCGGCTTCGGGGAAGGACCTGGCTTGTCTCTGGGTTCTTCCTGAGGGGTAACTGATGAGACATTTGTGGTTACATGTTCTGTTGCATGTAAAATTCATTTGATCCTGTGAGTTATCCTGTCCTCTGCAGACCTAGAAGATACTAGCAGTGTAGTCTCAAGAACTTAAAAGAGAAAACCAATCTCCTGGACCCAATCTCCTGGATGGGGTGGTTTCCACATCAGAACCTCTTACAATCCCTTTCGGAGGTTCAGGCAATCTACTGATTATGAATCTGTTTGGAAGCTCAGAGCACAATATTTCAGCCACGCTTACGATAAACTCGCCCAGGGACTGGGTGAGCCACTGCCCCACACACGGCGGTGGATGCTATTTCTCTCCTCACCTCGGGTGTTGGGATAACATCCCGTGGAACAGAACGCAGGCCCTAGGCTGTCAGTCTGACCTGTGCGAGATGAACTCATACCCACACCGCACCTGTGTATTTGTGCAACACCTC